CTTGAATTGAATTTGAATTGGACTGAATTGGTTGAATTGTTTTTGAATTGGTCTGAATTATTGTGATTTTATTTCACTGAATTAGCGTGAATTGACTTGAATTGAATGTAAATTGCCTTGAATTGGACTGAATTAGTTGAATTATTTTTGAATTTGTTCGAATTACTTCTGAACTATGTTGAATTAAATTGAATTGGTCTGAATTAGTTTGAATCGGGCAAGGGGTGTACATTTGTCAGAGGAGTTATCCACCCCTCGGTTTTTGCGATCAAATTGACTATCCTTCATGCGGTCCAAGGGAGGCAGTGTCCTGCGCCTGCCCACAGCCCGCATTAGTTGGGGGACCCTTGACTCCTTGAACTCACTCTTGACGAGCAGAGAGCGCCTAAGGGCTATGCAGTCCCGTGCGGCACGCGTGTAGTGCGGGACGGCCTGGCCAGCCCCGCCCCATCCGCTCCAGCGGTGCCACTGGAGAACTTGAGAAGAAGAGGAGGGCGATCTGCCACGACCAGAACAAAACCGGCATTGCGTTTGGACTCGGTGGTCTGCCCTCGACCGATCACAGCTGCTGTTTCGTTATGATGTTCCTGACCGAGCCTCTTCTTTGGCGGTGACGTTCTCACTGCCACTATGCGTATCAGATGCAGCCGGTCGCACGGCGCTGTACTCCTCTAGCACTTTCGCGAAGTTCACGACGCACGTTCACGGGCTGTATTTACTTTGGCGCGAAAAGGAAAAAGAAAACGAAAGAAGAACAATTCTAGTCGAGAGGGACGTCACTATCCTCCTATCCGCTGGGGCGCGGCGGGGCGCGACCCGGGCTGGAGATAGCGGGTGCATCCGAACGGCGATAAGGCACCACTCCACGCCACTCCCGCCCCCGTTTATCACCGCCTTCGATTTGAAGGCGTCATTTTCTAATTGTTATTTCGCCGTCCTAGATGACCCAGACTCCCGGCCATAGACCATGTAGTAGTGGTAGTAGGGTCCTTAGAGAGAAGACCGAAGATCGGGTCCCTAAAAGTGACTCCTTGTCGCTTTTAGCGTCCGGGTGGGACCCGCGGTGGGACCTTTGCGACCCCTGCCCTAGACTCCATATAGACTCCCCGGCCGACTTGGACTTTTTTCCCGCTGCAGCCCGCAGTTCTCGTGTTTCTAGAGATGTGCTTGTTCAGCGGTACGAGTTCTGCGGTGAGCGTGAGGAGGTGCGGGTGGAGGTGGAGGCGGGAAGGCGGGAGGATTCGTCTGCGATATTTACGGAGATGAACAACGGACGCGCATGGACTCTCCGCCCCGACGAAATGTTTTGGTGGGGGTTGAGGAGGGCAGGGAGTGGGGGGGGGGTCAAAACGGCATTATTTATCATGAATCATAATCATGAACGATGATGAACACGTCAGTCACTCCATGTCAGCGTCATATTGCATGGGGGGGGGGGGTATTGTGTGTATGTGAGTTGATGTGTGTGTGTGTGTGTGTGTGTGTGTGTGTGTGGGTGTGTTCACAATGAGCGTCACACTTTGTCAGAATTCGTCACGACAGGGCTGCGGCTGCGCAGCAATCGAGGGGCTGCTGCAAATAAATGAATGGACGAAAGAACCGTTTGCCCGTCCAACCCCTGCCAACTCAATGTTAAAGCTTTGTCCACTATCTCCGCGCGGCTTCCCGTACTGCCACCTTTTGGACAGCGAAATTCCCAACTTTTGTCCCGCACTCCGAAACGAAATTTCCCGCACGAATTCTGAAGTGAAAATTTTTTCTGGCCTCCGGGCGGAGTCGACCCCACGACCACCGGGCCCGGGGCCCGCTCGCTACCGCTGCGCTGCCGAAGTGTTGTCGTTCCTTGCTCGAAGCCGAGGAATCAGTTTCTGCTCAGATCGGCTGCTTTCAAGTATGCCAACGATTCAACGCAAAAAGGGCCGGAAATGGCATCGGATTATGTATTATCCCTGCATTTCTGACCTTTGCTAACAAATGGGATATGTTATTCCACACACGCGTCATATGTTGGAGTGCTAATCTAGCAGTTTGAAACTAGCCCATCACGACAACCGACCCGACAAATTTTTATGCTAAAACTGGCAGTACCGGAGGCCGCGCCAGGTGAGGGGGGGTCGGGGAGGACGAGGTAGCAAGCGGCCGGAAACGCCTATTAGAGTTGACAGGGGTTGTGCCCGTCCACGGTACCCGTTCCGTCGTTGGACCGTGTCTTCTGGGTCTTCTGTTCTGCACCACGCGAGCAGGCAGCGGCGGGCGGCGGGCGGCACGGCACAAACAGGGGCACGGTAAAAAAAAAAAACAATGTTTGATTTTTATTTGGAGGGGAAAGCGAAAACTTAGAGAGGAACTCCGATATTTGAGAGAAAACTCCTCAGATTGTGCAGAGATCTCATCAAAATAGGGAGTTCCAAAAACTTTTCCCCTTTTCCTCAAAAAATAATTGTTTTTACCGTATGGGGTGTCCTGACTGAAGCCGCGTGGGTAAGAGACCACTGCTTGTTTACCTTCGCGGTGGTCGGGCTCGCCCTCCACGCTGGGAAAACAAAGGTGTCCAGTGGTACATTTTCCAGGTTGGGGTGCTAAAGAAATTTTCAGTTGAGTGCCTCCTCTATAAAGGCACTCAATAGCCCTAAAGGAGCCAAAGATGAGTGCCTTCAGCATCTTTCACTGCCTTTTGTACAGACAACTTTCGTGTCTTTTAAAACTTTGGACGAAGCACCTTTCTTTTTCCAGGTATCCCGAAGGGGATCGCGGGGGTCTGAAGCCGTGGCGATCGCCAGTACGAGCGTGACGTGACGGACGTGACGAGCATGTGGGTTCGCTTGCCCCACCTGCTCCCCGCTGGAAGCATTCCACACCCTGTGCGTGTCCTGCACTGCACGTGTCCTCTCGGCTCAAGTCATGACGAGTTTGATCAGCTGTTCGCCGGCCCGGCCTGGCTGTCCATTGGGCACAAGGCTGCCGTCGCCGGCAGGGCTGGGGCTGGGGCCCCGGCCCCTAAAGTGTAGCGAGTCGCACAATTAATAACAATAACAATCATGACTCGCACGGGAGGGACAGGCGGAAAGTTTCCCTGAACAAAAGAGCGCTGTGCCGGGGATGCGGCGGGACGTACAGTACGTACAATGGCGATGGGGTTACTGCTAATGAAGTCCGCATTGAGGAAGGAAGGGACTCGTGGTGGTTGGGGGG